GAGGAGTTGCCAGACCTGACCTGAGCCCTTCAGGCCTGATCAGCTCATGGGTGAGCATTGAGGCAGGCAAGCAGCAGTGCTCGGGAGGCACGTTTTCCGCAGCGGGAGAGAGCCAGTACCAAAGAATGTACACAGCCACCCAGAACAAGTGAGAAGCAGCCCTCGATAGACAAAAGATAAGCATTTGCGTACGGACTACAGCACGAATCAAAAACAACCCCATTAGGGAAAAACCTCTCTCCCATTTACCTCCCTGCTCCCTGATCTGCACTGAGTCCCGGACCAGCTTCAACAATTGCTGGGTCTCCTGGGCCAGAAGTAGAATCTGTTGCACACCTGGAGCCATTCTCCCTGCCTTGGAGAGTGAACAAATTAACAAACGGGAAAAAAACTGCTGGCTCCCCTAAGCCAGGAACCCAGGGTAGGAACAGCTCCTTTGCCTAGGCACAGGCGTAAGGGATCCATGGACTCTGAGTGCCTTTCCCCCTGCATAGACTTGCGTAGGCCCATTTCAACAGCGTAGGCCCATTTCAACAGCGTAGGCCCTCATTACCACAGTACAACAAGGTATATACCTGAAGTCTAACGTCAACTGTTTCAGCTGTGAAGTGCCAGGTTCTTGACATTTGACACTGCTCTGCCCATTAAGCAAGGTCTTCACCTACCCACATCAGGGGCCTGAGGACTGGTGGCACCATGCACACCACCTAGCCATCTGCGATAGAGGCCCATGAATAAGAGGTGCCCCCTAGTCATTATGGCCAACAGGATTGGGCGCTCATAGTCGGGCTGCAAAACCCACCCACCTACACGCTCTAGGGAACAGGGACACGACTTCCTCCTGGACACTCAGAGGCGGCCGTCAGCCCCTTGCCTTGCTCAGTGTGTCCCAGTGCTGCAGCCAGATGCCTCTGCCTACACCCATCACCCATGCCTGTCTAGGAGAGCCTATACCACATGCTTTGTGGCTACCTACCTGGGCACCTGAGCTCAATCTATACAGGAGGAGTGGGCAGACTCCTGAGCTCACACACCTAGTATCAGATCTAACCACCTGGTGACAGGACATTAGAGCTTCAAAGGTGCCGATAATCAAACCAGCTCATACAAGCAGCCTATTTGGGCATATCAAAACAAAACAAGAAGCTAGGACACAGTAAGCAAACATAAAATAAATAAATATAATAACTTATTGATGGCTCGGAGACAACAGTCAATATCAAATCACATAAACAGCCAGTCCACGATGACTTCAGCAAGCTACCAAAATAAAGAATCTAGAAATTTTCCAGAGGAGGAAAATTTCTTGGAATTACTGGAGGCAGAATATAAAAGATTAATATACAGAACTCTTCAAGAAATTAGGAAGGAAATTAAGTAAAACGCAAAACATGCTATAGAGGACATTAAAGATTAGAGAAGAACATAATGACAAATTTAACAGGCTGCAAGAATCCATAGAGAGACAGCAATCAGAAATCTAGAAGATTAACAATAAAATTCCAGAATTAGACAACTCAAAAGAAAGTCATAAGAGCAGAACTGAGGCAATGGAAGTCAGAATTAGTGAGACTGAAGACAAAGCACTTGACACCAACTTATCTGAGGAAAAATCAGTTAAAAGGATTTAAAAAAATGAAGAAACCCTAAGAATTATGTGGGACTCTATCAAGAGAAATAACCTACGAGTGATTGGAGTACCAGAAGGGGGGGGGATAACAGAAAATACAGAGAGAATTGGTGAAGATTTGTTGGCAGAAAACTTCCCTGATATCATGAAAGATGACAAGGTATCTATCCAAGATGCTCATCGCACCCCACAAAAGGAAGATCCCAAAAGAAAGTCACCGAGATATATTATAATCAAACTTGCCAAAACCAAAGATAAAGAGAATTTTAAGAGCAGCTAGGGATAAATGAAAAGTCATCTACAAAGGAGAGTCAGTAAGAATAGGCTTGAACTACTCAGCAGAAACCATGCAGGCAAAAAGGCAATGGGATGACATATATAAAGCTTTGAAGGAAAATAACTGGCAGCCAAGAATTATATATCCAGCAAAACTGTTTCTCAAATATGATGGTGAAATTAGGGCATTTCCAGATAAAGAGAAGTTTAAGGAATTTGCAAAAACCAAACCAAAATTACAAGAAATACTAAAGGGCGTCCTCCAGTTAGAAAATCAGTAACAGCAGATAACAACCCAACAATAGGACACAGGACAGAGCAACCAGGTATCAACCCAGACAGGGAAGTCACAAAAGTAAATCAAAGCTAAAACACTAAAAACAGGGAAACAGATGTCAATATGTAAAAGATGACAATATTAAAACAAACAAGAGGGACCTGAAAAATGTAGACATAGATTTTTCATATGGAAAAGAAGTCAAGGCAATATAAAGAAATAAAAGACTGGTATAAACCTAGAGAAAATAGGGTTAAATGTTAAGGTAATCACAAAGGAAACTAACAATCCTACAAGTCAAAATAAAAAACTGGAAAAATACAAAGACTCAGCAAACACAAAATCAGCAATGAAAAAGATGAAAATACATAAAGAAAAACGACTCGGTATA